ACCGCGGTGTGAATATACTCTATAGTATATAAAAGAACCATTATCTTACTGAGACAACTATTAGATTACTACGTAAAAACTTAAAAGATTTATCACTCGAACACCCCGTCTAACTGTCGTAATTCGCAAGGATTACACGTTAAAAGTAGATCATATATTAAATCATAATAGAAAATACAGTTATATTATCTATGTTGATTTTTAATTTCGCAATAAATTTCATATTCAACATATCAATAGCTATATTTCAAATTCTAATCAGACCTTAAATAAAAAGACCTATAATAACCTTTATAACATTATTATTAAAGCTCATAGAAATAATATAAAAATTATTCTGTTAGATGATTTAATGTAGTATTAAATATATCTAATAATATGTTATATGCTAACTTATTCTTTTCGCAATTAAAAATTTATAATTATTTAATACTTTTGATCTACTTCATGATAACGCTAACCAATTTTTTCTATCATTTTAACATTCTGCTAACTATCAGTCTACAAGAATAGATCATATTTATTGTATCTCTTATCTCGTAATAGATCTCAATACTATTTAAATTATACTTGTTGACCTGCATAATTCAGATCACTTAATAGTTTTTATAAACATAAACATAACTGAACTCAATGTATCTTCTAAATCTAAAGATCAATTTATAAAAAAAACCTTTCTATATGATCTAATGAATAATAAAACTTAGATTAAATTTAGTAAAACAACTGATAATTTTTTGGATGATTATTAATTAACCAATTTAGTTCCTGCTAAATTACATTTCAAAGTAGCTTTAAAATTTTCTGGGATCTGATTTAAGAATATATTATTAAAGCTGCTAATAAATGCATTTCATTTTAGTATTCTTCATAATATTCAAAAGATATATACTTTCATTTATTAAAAAATATGTGTAAATATTTAGTAATTATTCAAGTACTTCAATGCCTAATAAACAAATGTTTTCACTCCTCTATTATTACAAATAATTGGTTATCATATATCAAAAAACTATATATATAATATTGCAATATGATTTTTATTAGCCTGCTATAATTTTACCTACAATTGCTAACCTTAATAAAACAAAATCTGTAAATAATTATATTAATATTGATGATAAAGTATCTGCTAAAGAGAAATTATCATTACAAGAAATTGTTGATGTTATAAAAAAAACAAATAAAAGAAAAATTGAAGAGAAAGAGAAGCAAGATAAAATCTCTACAATAGTTATATTAAATAGTATTGAAAATATAATTAAATATATTCAATAAAAAATTTAAAAATTAGGTAATTTAAAAATGAAAAATTTAAAAAAAAATCTTTTTTAATAATATAAATAAAAAAAGCTAAAGTAAACTAAATGAATATTTTGATTTTAATATATAACAGATAGTTCTTTTATAATAATAAAATTATATTTCATTTTTGAACTAAAAATTTTGAATAAAAAATCATCGTGATACATATCTTGATATTTCAGATTTTTTGTATATTTTATATAAATTCAGTTTAGCAAGATTTTTTTCAATATATTAGATATTTTGATATATCAGATATTTTTTACTAAAATCAACTGATCTGATTTATTGAGATTGCTTATGTAGTTTAAATTATTATTATACTAACGAACCTATTATAAAATTAGATAATATTTTTTATATTTTTTTTGCATATTTATTTTCTAATTCATTTTAATTTATTTAGTAATTTAATTAAGGAAAAATGTTATCTTTTATCATATTATAATTTATTAAATATTATTTATTATATTAAAAAATCAGAAATTTCTATTGATAATGATATTTTAAGATTAGTAAATAATAAAAAAAAAATATTATCTTAAATATTTTGAAAAGGAAAAGATTATCATCTTAATAAATAAATAGATTAAATATTACTTTGTTATTAAAAATTTATTAAAAATTAAAAAAATTAGAATATGTATTTTATAAAAATTTCAGAATAAAAAATTATAAATATATATTAATTAGTGTTATGTATAGCTAATAGTAAATTTTTTTGCTAGATCTGATCAATATTAGTATTATTTAGGGTTTTAATAAAACTAGAAAGCTTACAGAAAACTTACTTAAAATTATTACAGTTTTTATAATATAATATAATAGATTACGTTCAATTGTTAATTATATAAAAAAATGTGAAATTACCTAAAAGGTTTAAGAATTTTAAAAAGAAAGTGAAGAAACTTTTAACAAATAAGATATAGCATATTTATATTTATTTTAACTAATAAGAGCAATTAAAACATAAAAGATAAATAGAAATAGCATAATAGATATATAATTAATGCTTTATTATAGTCAAAAAAGAAGATATTAAATAATAAAAGAAAGATTTATGTGTATAATATCTTAATATTAAAAATTTCAACAATTCTAAATTCAAATGAATTCTTGAAACTTTTTATAATATTTATAATAAGCAATAAATAACTTACTTAAAGAATATTCTTATAATTTTGCTATATATATTATAAAAACTTCAAGATAAAGCTTTGTTTTAAAGCAATTTTATGATAATTATATATTCCTTTCTAAAATCAATTAATAAAACTTCTTTTAAAAAATCTTAAATATGATAACTGCTTTATTATAAATTACCTAGGTAAATATTATCTTTATATACTTAAATATAGGCAAAAATCAAAGTTCTTTATTTTAAAAGATCTTATTTATATTATCTATATAATATATCTTTGTCTTATATTAATAATAATAAAAATAGTTTAAATTAAAATTATTTAAATATTTAATAATTTAATAGAAAAGATTATTAGTGATTGCTTTAAATCTAAGTATAAATATATTTATAAAAGATTATAATCTAAGTAGAATAGCTATTAAATGAAAGAAAATTAATATTAGTTGTTTTAATTATATATATAATAAGCTTCAAAGTAAATGCAATTGTATTTATAAATAAAAATAAGTAAAAATGTTACAGATAAAAGTTATTAATTAATTTATTTATTTTATTTATAATTTAATGTATTTATTATTTTAATTATAGATTATATTATATTATATATTTATTTATAAGAGCATTCATTAGCTTATAAATAATTATTATTATAGGTTAATTAAATAATTTTGTAAAAATTATTTATAATATTATTACCTAAATTTATACTTAAGAAATAGTTTAATGTGAGTAATAACATATTAGTTTTAAGACTGCTTAAATTATATATAAATTACATTATCACTTTCAATAGCATCTAATCTATAAAACACATAAGTATTTCTGATATTAAGTAGTAATTTATATAGAAGTAAAATTTATAGATTCTGTGACTATATTTATAGATAGCTAGATAGATCTAAAGTGGTTTATTATCTCTAATAAAAAATAAACCTTAATAGCGATATTAATAATGCTTATAATATTCTTCTTTAATATTTTATAAAAAAGTTAGTTTAAGCTAATACAAAAGTTTATTTCTTATATAATTTGTTATTACTTAATTTAGATTATACTTAATGTAAAATTTATTAATAATAATAGATTTTAATATAAACATTTTTTATATATAAAAAATAAAATATAATATTTTATTAAATTATATACAATTAACCTTTTTATATTACATTTTATAAAATTACATTCTCTTTATAAGTATATTACATTTTGATTCTGATTTTTTAAATATAAAAATCTTTTTATAATTACATATAATTATAAATACTATTACACTAATTATTAAACTGATATTATTACAGTCAACTCTTGATATATCGAACTCTTGATATAACGAATTTTTTGAACAAATATAATAAAAATACTCTTGTTATAGCGAATTGGCCAATCAAATCTCTTAAAATCTTCACTATAGCCTTATAGTGAAGTTGAGATCTAAGACATAGAGTTCGTTATAACAAGAGTTGACTGTAATTGATATAATAAATTTTGTTTTATATAATCATATTATTATATTATAAAATATAAATAATAGTATAACTAAAAATATTATATATATTTTATAGTTTAAGTTAATAAATAATATTATATTTAGAAAATGATATACATTTTTTATCTTATTTTGAGTTGATAATTATATAATTAATCTATTTTAACAAAAAAAAAATTCTTTAATTTTTTTTAAACTTTTTGAAGAACTATGTATTTTAATAAAATACTTTTTTTTTTTATATTTAAATTTATTAAATATAAATTATTAATTGAGTCAAAAAAAAAAAGTTATTAAGTAATTAAGCAAAAGAATAAAGCAAAAAATAAAGTTAAATAAAAAAAAATTAATTTATTATTTTAAAGATCTAAAAAAAAAGAAAATGGTTATTAAATAATCAAGCGAAAAAATAAAGGCAAAAGAATAAAGTAATAAAATGAAATTATTATTTAAGATTCAGAATCAAAAGCTGAAAGATCTAATAAAAAGAAAATGATTTTTAAACAACTAAATAAAAGAATGATGATTGGTTTGAAAATATTAAATTCAAAATTTAAAAAGATCCAATTGCATCAGAAGAAAGCAAAAATGCAGATGATAAACCTGAATCTAATTTTTTTATCTATCAGTTCTTGAATCATTTCTTTACAATTGAATAACAAAATAGATAGCATTACGAACTTAATGACATCAATGTAAAATAAAGAAAATGAAATGAACTAATCTCCTAAGATTCAGAATCAAAGAGCTATGAGAATCAATTTTTTATCATAATTCCAATTATAAATGTAATAAAAAACAATAATCATTATCATGATAAACAGTTTAATTTCTAAAAACGATGCATAATTACATAATCACATACACAAGAACACCTCTATACAATCACACCATAAGATGATCCCGAAAGTGTAATTGTAGAGAGAGCCGACTGTAATTATATTAAGATTAATAAAAATAATTTTATGTTTAAAAAAAGATACTGCAAATAAAAAGATTGTCAATGCATTCAAAATATTAGAATAACTACAATATTATTAATTGCCCTTTAAAAAAGATATGCAAATTTATAATATTTTACAAAACCAATATAATTTTTTTTGATTACCATATATATATTTAAAAACCATAATTGAAAATATAAACTGTGCTAAAAATGTAAATGTAATGTAGATATTTAATTTTGCTAAACATTAAAAATTTGATATATAATCAGAAACGTTCTTCACATAAAAGTTTACAAGTTTGCATATTCAATATCCAAGCTTAGCAAATGTTTACCCAGAGTGAGTGACTAAAAATAATAAAATGCTTATAATAAATCATACGATAAAAATTTATAAACTATTTAATCCTCTAGCTTTAGCTACAAATCCTTTATCGCTAATGATACTTACCATTTGGTCTACCATTCAATGCTTCTAAATTTGGGTTTTTTACCGCCTTGGTCTTTTTTCTCTTAAGCTTTCTCCATTGACCATTGGATAAATTCATTTCAAATATGAAAGTTTCTTGAATTTCCTTGCCTTCATCGGGAATTGGTGTCTTTTCCTCATGTAAGATAATATGACGAATTTCATCCTCATTATTAGATACTCCTTTCGATATATTCATGAGTTTGTCACGTTCTATACAGTTAAAAATAAAATTAATGTAAAAAAAAAAAAAATTATATATAAAAAAAAACAAATAAATAAAATTCTTTACGTTCTGGTTTAGTATGATGTCCACCTAAAAAGTTTATTATGAGCTGACGGTTGTCACCATGAATCTTATTAGACTTATCGAGAACCGCGCCACAATTCATTTCAAATTGTCTTCTTAATTCTTCATTCATCTCGTTTTTAGGTATCTCTTCGAATTGTGGTCTTGGTAATTCTGGGTCCGCAACAATAGGTTGTTCAGATGCTAGAAAGAGAAAAATATAACATTTGACGTTATTAAATTTAAAAAAATATATCTTATGACCAAATGATGATATGGTTACCTGATGAAAGTGGTTCAGCTATTGTTGCCTGTGTGTATGTGCTAGATCCATTCTGTGATACAGTAGCAATGGTATCAGTGTTGTCGGCGATATGATCATGTGTTGATGAAGTCTGCATATCTGGCTGGTATAGGTTTGCAGGTGATAATGAAGCTGGAAATGTAGGTGAAACCGTAGCTTTCTTGGATTTTTTGTGTGGCAAATCCTCGTCCGATACAACTTCCTCTTCAATGGTTTCATCATCTTTAGGAGGAAAAAAAAAATTATTTTTTTTTTTAAATAAATTTCATTACTTTTTTTTTTTGAAAAAACAAAAAAAAAACACAAAATTCATTTCAATGAAATCATTGAGAAATAGTCAATGCTAATGAAAACATAATTCACAAATTGACCTTCAAAATGATGACAATTCATTAATAACAAAGGTGAGCTCTTTCTGAAAATGAAAATGATACTTTACAATTGATTTTTTTCTTTTTTCGAGTCGTCACTAAATAATATAAATTTAACCAAGTTAGTGCAAAAAAAAATAATTATAATTAAACAAATTGCAATACTCTAATAAGAAAGCAAATCTCACAAGGAACGTTGGCCTGTTGCGTATTACTCAATTCGTTAGAAGCCGCCGTTTTTGCTGCCGCCTTTTCACGCTTTTCTTGCTTTTCTTTTTCTTTCGCTAGTTTGGCCTCTTCCTTCAGTCGTACTTTTTCGGCTTTCTCGCGTTCTTTCTTGTTTTTTTTCTCTTCGTCTTCACGTCGTCTTTCTTCTTGACGTTTTTCACGTTCCTGTCTTCGCATTTCTTTCATTTGTTGTTCCTCTGACCGACATCATAGAAGAGAAAGTAATTTACACATTATCAAAATTGGCTACACTGAAATATTCCAGTCAAATGGAAAAAATATACATCAAATAATAGCCATACAATATGATAAAGTGTTATGTTAAATATTCGTACCCATTTGTGTTTTAAGTTTAGTTTCTTCTTGATTTCGTGTTATAGTTGTAGCAGTAGTTATATCAAGAATTTGAATTTTAGTGGGTTTTACGTATTTTTTCCCTTGAGTAATTTTTGGTTCTGTTGGCGAATCCGGTCCTTTATTGGCCCAGAAATATGATTAATCAAGAGATTAATAGGTAAATTTCAAGTAATAAAAAAGTATTATCTTATGCGTAAAAAATTTAAATTACCACGCAAAATATTTATAGATCCAGGTTTTGGAAGACTTGGAGATCTGAGAAATGGTTGTGACAATTGTGAAGGTCGACGTTTAGGAATGAATATTGAAGGTCCTGTTGAAGCTTGTGATGAGCCAATTCGAGTTGGATCAGACACAAAGTTAAATCCTGTTACATTAACAGGAGATGTTAATCCCGGTGATGGTGGTGGCATTGCTACATTATTCAAGGCATATAGACGTTGTTGCTTTGATATTTCAAATCCCTGCTTTAAAGCAAAATGTCGAGCGGGCTCTAATTCAATTGTGAGTGTTGAAAAAGCATCACTTATGTCACGGTCTATAAATGCATATTCAGTCGGATGGAATTTAATTCCAGTTCGTTGTACTTTACATAAAATGATGAAATCGTTTATTAGTTATATTTAAAAAGAAATGATTGATAATTATAAACATATAAATGTATACATGTATATATATAAAAAATAATAATAATATAAATCTTACTTCGCTCCATTAAATTTTGAAGTCCCTCCTGAGCGTCTTTAGGAATATGTTGTTCTATGTTAAGATCAAGTGCATTTGTGGTTGGATAATTTTGTAGCATTTTTGATACTAAACGAACCCATTCATCATTGTCGCTAGATCCATTTGTAATTATCTAAAATATGACATTATCGAAAGAAGTAAAAGTGAGTGAGTAAAAAAAATCCATATATATATACACGTAAAGGTTGTTATAATACATAATCACTTGTTTATTTATTAAAAAAAAAATTAAACTTAAAAAATATTCGAATTGATATAATTTTTTTTTTTTTTTTTTTTTTTTTTATGAAAGATAATTTTTATCGTTTCAATTTTTAAATTAAAGCATAACAAAATAATTTCATACGTATAAAAAAATTTTTATTTGAAATACAAATAAACGAAAACGTTTTAAAGGAATAAAAAAAAAAAACGCGCAATAAAAATTTCAAATGCTTTATCGCTTGGCATCTTTAATTCCACGAAATTTAGCACTAAAAGTTTTACAAACGCGACTTCAAATCATTAACGTAAAAAGTAAAGAAAAGACCATATAAAGGTTTTTTGTTTTTTGAAATGTAAAGCTGTAAGTATGCGTTGATACAACACTTACCGCTGATAACTCATTTCCCATAGTATTCAACGAAATTTTTCTAATGCACAAAAGTGCAAATAACACTCCCAACTTAATATTAGAGGAATACGAACTCCAACGATTACAAATATGTTGCAGTATTTCCCTTGTAAGTTCCGGACCTACGATCGAAGGGAACGACCAAGGATTGGTTGACGACTGAATAAGCCAATTCTCAACTCCTTCTGGCGTATTACGATCCGCGGCCATTTTATAAAAAAATTTTTTATTAAAGTTTCAATAGTTGGTCACAACTTTTTACAGTCTAAATTAATCGGCGTTACGGAAGAGTCTTTGTTCGTGAATAACAGCTAAACCGAACTAAATAATCAGTACACGATCCCAAGTTGGGTGGAGAGGATTCTGCTATTTTATACATACGTGTATATCTGGAGTGTGAAAAAGCAAGCTTTTTGGTCTTTCTTCAAAACAAAGTCACGTGATCAATGAATATGTTAGACGGTATGTAGATCATTTTAATTACTTATACATCACATCGTGTACTTGAGTTTGATGATTTATTAAATTAATTAATCAAATAAAAAACGCATAATATTTACAAATAAAAAAGTTTTCAATAACGTTTGTTGTATGACGCGTATAAAACGACGAAAGTTTTTTTTTTTATTTGGAAAAATGAATTATTCTTGAGAGGGTTGTAATTTTTCGTCAATCTCCATATCCTAGGGAAATTTTTAATCATAAATTTATTATTATTATTTTTTTTTTTTTAAAAAAAAAAAAAAAAGAACTTAAATAAACACCTACATCTTTATCAGCATTTTCAGATATTTCTCGGGCCTGAAACTCTGCTTTACTTCTATAGAGATTGTATAAATGTAAGATATAAAAATAAGAATCAACTAAGATAAAATATGTCCACAACTTACCTAAAGCAGGTTTGAATAAATGATCTTTTGATGTGTTCTGCATTTAATTTATATGCACCTTGAATAAGCATTGACGGAGTCGACTGCCTCATAAAGGGATTTTCAATAAACGCACGACCATTATAATTCGCAAAAAGATTTGGTTGTTCTATAATTTAGGTTAAGAATTCAATAATCAACTTTCATGAATAATGATTACTCCTCCTTTACATACATTACCTGGAAGAGCACGAATTTGTTGCTCATTTAAATGTACAGTTTTTTTCTTCTTGCGAGGAAAATTAGGTGCCTTCCAGGCGAGAGTTGCGGCACTGTCTGCATTATCTGTGTAAGTCCTTTTAACCGACCTATGTTGTGCCACAGCAGAAGCTAGGGAACCTTCAACTTTACTAATCACGTAGGCATTACTGTTACTACCATAATTGGCTTTTCTGGTTCTTGTGGGATCTCTGAAGTTGTCAACCTGATCATAATTTAAACCTTCAAAATTGTTGAATGATAAGTCTTCTCAATCTTCGTTACATTTAAATTGTATTTTTACGCTAAATACTTTACTTTTGCGTCTTTTATTAAAGTCTTCATTATCAACTTCTTCGGTTATTTTAGGCTTTGGCACACGTGAAGAAGTCCTGACAGCTTTAGCCTTAGTCGATTTTTTAGCTAATACTTCAAGAGTTAAGATTTCGGGAGGGAGCATAAAATTCTGCTGAGGGCAGACTTTTTCAAAGTCGACTAGCTCAAAATATTTGTGTTCCGAGACAACCTTCGGGCTTGAAGACATTTTAACAACGTTTCCTTTCGTTTACTGCAAGTTAATTAAAGTCGACATCAAGGTTGATTGATAATTTTGATTTAAATCCAAATTTCCAAGTGAACGAAACGCGTAGCAACTAAAAAAAAGCGTAACAATAGAAAAAAAATTTAATAGGTTAAACCAACAACCAATTAGTTACCGTAATACTACTACTACATTGCACAAAAATAATAATAAAATAAATAATCATGTGCAAAAAGAATTATTAAGTTAATGGTTTTTTTTTTTTATTTATTTACTTTTAAATTATATAAAGTCACGTTCTTTTTATCAATGAAATTAATTATATATTTTGTTAATTTTAGGTTGAATAATAAAACAAATGGATTGTTGTTTATATCATTGTAATAATAAAAACAAATACTAAATTATAGTAATTCTTTTTTGAAAAATTAATCATAAACAAAAAAAAATAAAGTAGGAGATTCTATCAAATTTTAGATTTTTATATTATATATAGAACCTATACAAACTCTAATAATAAGAAATATATAATAAAAGATGTGATAAACTGACTGCTAAAATTGTATGGATCAAAGCTCCAAAATATCTCGCCCGAAAGAATAATTCAGCAATGCTTTGTCCAGAAATTAGGGCATTAAAAAAAAAAAATTGTCCAATTGACATTAATTATTTTCCAGATGGTTCTTCTGCCTTGAGGAAATTTTTTATTAAGTAGGTAAGTGTAGTTTTACCGAGTGTAAGGGTGATAATTATGTTGTCCGCGCACTTGGTGACTACTGTACAAAGCACCACCTGAACCACTATTACTCATTGAACTGGAGTAAGAACGAGCTGGTCCGCCGCTACGAGAACTGCCACCACCACCACGATTATACATAGGAGAAGTCGGATGATGATGATGATGATGATCTCGGTAACTACCTTCATCTCGACTAGGAGAATGTCGATATCCACCACTTAACCGGCTGCTGGAACTTGGACCACCCATTGCTGAACCACTTCCGGATGATGGACCACCTGATCCATAACCACCATCTCTTCCATACCATTGGCTGTAAGATCCTCCACGACTTCCAGAACCTCCATAACTGCTACTACTACCGCCATATTGACTATTATAACCATATCTACTGAAGTAGTTAAAATAAACATAGAAATGATAAAACAAACATTATAATAAAAAAGAATTAATAAATTTTATAATTCACATTCGGATTTTACCTTGAAGAATAATAAGCAGCATTCATAGCATTATATGGAGCATACCCGCTAGGATAGGAACTTGGATAATTATAATTGGAGTATTGACTGTATCCACCGTAGCCTGTATACGAGCTGGGATTATAACTACCAAGACCAGAATATCCTCCAGAACTTCCATCTTTCCCAACGCCGGACATCCCATATGGAGATCCATATCTACTGCTAGCAGAACTGGCCGATGATGATAAACCAGACATTGCAGCAGCAGCTGATGCCGGAGAGGATGATCCATAACTTCCCTGATTATAAATCGGCGCAAGCCTTTGTGATTTATGTTTAGGCATTGCTCGTTTCACTTCAATCTATTAATATTAAATCCATTAAAAATTAAAATAAATAAAAATTAGGTGAAAAATATATATAATTTAATTTACCGGCTTGTTTTGAATTTCCAAGTCACTCCTAGCCATAGCTTTCTCAACTGGTTCAGAAGAATCAAAGGTGATAAATCCAAAACCGCGAGGTCTACCAGTATCACGATCGACCATAAGGGTCGCATCAATAACGTTTCCAAATTGCGCAAAATATTCTTTAAATTCTTCCTCAGATACTTCCGGCGCAATACCTCCTACAAAAATTTTTTCGGTTTTTTCTTGTTCTTCACGCGGAATCGCTCGTTTTGGATCGATCTAATTGCAAAAATTATTATAAGTGATAGTTTTATTTAGACATTGTTTAAAAAGAGGATCGCCTTATTCTATGATTTTTGCTAGATTATATTTTTTCCTACTTACAATTTTCCCATCCAATTGATGTTCCTTAACTAATACGGTATTAACAACGGAAGGATCTACAAATGTAAGAAAACCAAAACCACGAGATCTCCCCGTATTTGGATCTCTCATGACTATACAATCCGTTACTTCACCGTATTGTGAAAAGTATGATTTAAGGCTCTCTATTATGAATTATTTTTGATTTCATAAGCAAATTATATGATTTGGTATTAGATCAAAAAAAGAAATAAAAAGATAGATGAATAAATTATGATGAAAATGTTAAATTCGAATATTTTATTCAATTGTTAGTGTAAAAGAGTGAATTAATGATTCACTCAATATTCTTGAGAAACTTGAGAAATGATGCCCAAGCCAATAATCTTAGCGCCAATTATTTCCACAGAATCTCTCAACATCCAAAGACTAGAATTTAAAACACTAAGAAATAAATAATGACTAATTTCTCTCTTAATATAATCATGTATCTTACAATATATCTTTTTTTTTCCTTATATTTGATGTTCACTTAATAAATACATGAATCAATAAAGAGAGAAAATTTAACTAACGACATACTGTCGACTAGTGTCTTCATAAATATATATAAAGAGAGCGAAAGAGAGAGAGAGAGAGACCAAAGTGCATAGGAAATAATTAAATTACAACGAAGGCTACGGTAAGACTAAAATACAAGAATCTTACCATCGGTTGTTTCCCAATTAAGACCTCCTATGAACATCTTTCTACAGTATTCAATGTGATACGATTTATGGTAAAGGAATATAGTTGATAGATAGATGTATTCGATATATAGATGTAATAATTTATATATATATAAAATAGTGTAAAAAAGTATTGGGGAAAAAGAGAAACCTATTAGTTGTAATTAATCTGCAATGCTCTAAAGAAAGAAAAATAAACCTAACCACAAAAAAAAAAAAAGAAAAGTATATTATAGAATTCTCCGAAAAATTTCTATATTCCTCCCTCTCCCTCTCTTTCCATGCTACATAATAAAATTGTAATCCTGATTTCTTTGTACTAAATTTCTCTATTTAATATCTGTACGGGCAATTTCCTTCTTCAAGGCTAATAATTAAAATCATCCTAATACGATAGATCTCTATATATAATTTGAATATTAAAAGCCTTTCCAGAGTTTTGCCTTCCTTCGATTTTCTTTCTTTCAGTTGGAAGTCGTAAAGTGTATCATGTAGAAAGTTCCTGGATCGTTGGTTCGAACAAAAACAAGGTGCACAAAAAAAAAGAGAGAAACTCCCCACAAGCTAAAAGTTTCCCGCTAAAATAAATTGCAAAAAAAAATTGTTGAAACAATGATACTTTACCCTTCTTCATGTGTCGATGCTTTATTATCTTCTTTTTTGATCACATCTGAGTCTTGAGCTGATCTTCCATCTTGTTTGGAATCTGATGATTGACGGGATGACGAACTATCGGCTGCCATTGTAACTTGTTTGCTGTTTGTCAACTATTTCTACTAATTATCCTTAAGCTTGAATAGAGTTTTACTGAAAATACCTAATTTTAATTATAAAGATTTTAAAAAGGTCAAAATAGCAAATTAAAGAGAAGCTAAAGTAATTACTATTTCGCACAACCTACTATATATATCGATAATTTGAGCACATGAAATAGTAACGGCAAAAAACAGTTAAATGACGTCACAACCACACGTTTTGTATTCTGCCGATCAGTGACATATTATAGGTCAAAAATCCAAATACATACGTGACAATTAGAATACTTGGTAAAATTTGGTGGCTGAATTTTTTGTAATTAGATTTGCAAAGTACAGTATGTATGTATTTAATTTTATTTATTTATTCATTTATTTAATAAATTTATTTATATTTTATTTTTTTTTAAATTATTTAAAATATAAAGAAAGATAATTAAACTCAAAAATTATTTTTATATTTACTTTAAATTTAAAAAAAACATTTATTATTTTAAAATAAATTATAATTTATTAATTCTATATAATAATTATCATATTATAATAATTAAATTTACATTCTTTTTATATATAATAAATATATAATTTATTAAATTCTTATATTTAATAGGTTATTATATAATTTAAATATTAAAATATAAAATCTTTACAATAGAAAAAGAAAAATTATCAGAACAAATAAAAAATAAGTTAATATAAAACTTTAATCTAAAAATCATTATTGTTTTTCTCTTATTTTATATTTAGTATATAAAATAAAATTTATATTTTTTCATAAATTATTTCTTTTTATTTAAATATTTTGTAGTAAAAAAAGAGGAAACTATTAAAAAAAATTTTTTTTACTTTATAAGTTAAATATTATTTTTTAATAAAATAAATCCAAATTTAAAATTAACTTAAAAAAATTTTTTTAGTAGTTTCCTCCTTTTTACTATAAAATATTTATATATAAAATCAAATAAATCTTAAAAAATTAATTAAAATATAGATAAGAAACAAATTATTTTAATATTAGTCAAAATTAAAATAACTTATATTAAATTTATAATAAAAAATATAATAAAATCCTTCAATTATAATAAAAATTAAAATTATTAAAATATATTAAAAAGTAATAAAAAATATGATAAACCTATTTTAAAAATATTTTAGTAAATATTTATAGATTAAAATTAAAAAATAATTAAAGTAAAAAGTTAAATATATTAAAATATATGCTAAAACATAAATAATAAAAATTTTAAATATACAAATTAAAATAATTTAAATTAGTTAGAAATTAAACAATTGAATTTTAAATTGATTTTGATATTATTTACAGCTAAATTATTTATTTTTAATTGATATAAGCAGTATTAATTAACTTTAATTAAATAAAACAATTCAATATCAATTTAAAATATAAATTCAATTATAAAATTAATTTAAAATTAGCTTTAATTTAGCATTAATTTAGAATATAAATTAAGTGTAAATCAGTTTTAATTTATATTAATTTAGTAAAATAAGTATTATCAAATTAATATATTTTTTATTCAATTAAATTATTAAAATTTTATTAAGTAAAAAAAATAAAAAAAAATATAAAAAGATAATAATAAAAAATTAACATTTTTTTCTCTCATAATCCTTATTATATAATAATTATTTAAAAGTAAATTTAATTTACTGGATTCATCTCATTAAGGCCTATTAAATAATAGTATTTTTATATTTTTGAGATTATAATAGTAAGATAAGTGAGATACTACCATATAATATAATTACAGTTCCCAATGAAAAGAATGGCAGTAAAAGATCGCATCTCTTTTAAGCTGCAGTTTTACCACTTTTCAGATTTAGGCATTTGTTTATAAATCGGACATTGGAACCTAAATTAAAAAGATAAGTTAAAAAAATAAGATTTGTTATTTGTTTTTATTTTGATTTTCTTTCTAAAACTATACCAAACTCTTTAAAAATACAAAGAGATTCTGTTAAGTCACTTTAGAATCAAAAAGTGTGTAATGCAAAGAAAATTTCTAATTGATTATGCATTCTTTTACACACATGTGAATGATATGTCAGTTTACTAAATAAAACTAGCAAAATTTCTATGGTTACTCTTCTGGCTGTCTAAAAAAATTGGCTTCAAATCAACGTTACCATATTAGAAAAATTTTGCAATATAATTATTTTACTACAACAGGTAAACTTAAGGTAAAATTAGAAGGAAAAAAATCTCAACTTTGATGTCAGTAAACATACGGTACATCGTGAGTTTAATAATATTAGATATATTTCTGTTCTTTCAAGAAAGATTTCTCTCTTAACCTAGAAAGTGAAGGATTTTTATTTATCTTGAACACATGATCATTCGTGATACAACTGGAAAAATATTGTTTTTTCTGATGAAATAATACTTCAGATATTTAGAAATACTATATGTGCATAGTCTTATAATGCACAACTAATTGTCTCTATAGTAAAGCACCTATTCAAAGTTCATGTTTGAACAGCGATTAGTGCTAAAGAAAAATCGGTATTCATTTGTTTACTGAAAATTTAGATTGTCATTTATATCAAAAAATCTTAAATGACCATCTGTATAACAATGCAGATATATTATACAAACGCAGCTGAGTCTTCCAACAAGATAATGACTTAAAACACACCTCATATGATGTTTAAGAGAACTTGAAAAAATATCTTCCAAGACGAGTTCTTTCTTGACCTTCATATAGACCAGACTTAAACCCTATTGAAAATGTATGGGCTGTATTAAAAGGAAAGGTAGAGAAAAAGATCAAGTATTTAGTAGGAAAAAAAAATATTACCTGCAATATATTCCTTAATACAATCTAGCAGAAATGAAATGATCTTGATGACGTCATATTACTTCAGTACATCGAGAGCATACCAAGCTGGATTAAAGCATATATCAATGTAGAAAGAGAACACACTAAATATCAATTAATAATATAAAAGTTATTATTAGTATTGTTCTTATAAAAAATATACATTAAAATAAAGTTTGTACATACTGTCGAAATATGTTTCTGCCATTCTTTTCATCAGGGACTGTATATTATATAGTAGTATTCTACTTGTCTTAGATTATATTATCACTATATAATCTAATTACTATCACATAATCTAAATACTACCATAATCTAATTATTACTATATAATCTAAATAATATAATCTAATTACCACTATATAATCTA